TCTTCTCCTTGTTCTTTAAAACAAGTTTCAAATCCAGGTCAGGCCCTAGACTGTACCTGGTGAGTCAAATGCAGGGTTGAATGTGCAGCCATGGAAATGAGGTGACCCCAGTGCCCACGGCTCACTGCAGACACCCATCTGTTGTCTCAAAGTCCCTCAGCCTTTGTCCTCACAAACCTGCCCACACTCTTCTACGCTGCATTTGGAGAAAATTATAAACCAGCATTTTCTTATCTGATCAGAGCCAAGACTCATGTAGGAGCTCCTCTGCAGCGTACCCTGTCCTAGCACAGGAGGGCCACATAGTTACTGACCACAGACACCAAGGTGTGTAACCGGTCCAAGCCCCTCAGGTCAGCCAGCATCTCTGTCCCTGCCATATGCTTCATTAACACTGGGTGGGAGAAGTGCTGAGAAGGCTGGTGGCACCCTGCATGGGAGAGAATGTTTCAGTTTAGCAGTTCTCACTCACGCAGCTACCCATTTCCTCAGCTTGCCCTGACAGATGCTGGCCTTGGGCAGGGCAGGGCGTGCCTGGAGTGGCCGTGCCAGGCAGGGCCTGGCATGCAGGACAGCCCTCCCCACCATCTCCCGCGTTTCCTGGGCCAAGGAGGTGCAGATCACTGCTGCCTGGAGTTGGACACCTCAAGGCTTTGCAGGTTGGATTGTAAACTGTGGAAAACAGGATGTGTTTGAACAGTATCTTGGACAACAAAGGAAACTGGGCCAAGAAGAGGACTCACGGGTATTCCTGGAAAACACCAAGCAGTGATCACATTCACTACACTCCTGTCACCCACTTGACCAGCCTTCACCTACACCAGCCTGCCCAGGCAGGGCCATACAGAGCACCCCACACAGCAGAGCCCTGCCCTGGGCAGCCACACCACGCAGGCAAAGCGAGAAGCCAACACCCCAGCACTCTGAAGGGAAAGCTGGCAGAGAATGGATTTGCTGGAGCCACCCTCTGCCTCACTGGTGCTCTACTTGGAGAGGACAGGGAAGGATGCCGCTGCTCAGAGCCATGCACAGATCATCCCTTGCACCATGAGCTACTCTGACAGGTTTTAGCCTCGGTCCTCAGGGCTGCAGCCATTTTAAAAGCTAGGTGTGCAAACAAACGAGCTTGTTACTGGCAAAAGCAAGCACCACTTGTCCAGTCTGCTCTCCTCCTCCACTCAGGGCTCACAAGCAAGTACCAGCACTTGGACCATGGTTTGCAGCACACTCCCAACACACTGTGGAGCTTGGGAATCCCACAGCATATCTGACATACAAAATAAATTGGAAAAAAAAAAAATCAAACTGCATCCTTAATTTCAAGGAGACTAACACCACCAAATACACTAACACCTTTTTCTCTAGAGATGAATATTGGCTTCATAATTCCTTTCTCTCCTCTATTCTGCAGCCGGTTCTGCTTTCCTCCCAGCCCCTGCCCCATTTCTTTTTTACTTCCAGTGCTTCATGTGCTGGGAACCGCTGTACACTCCTAAGCCCAGCTCTCTTTCCTTCAAAACAGAGAAACTGGAATACACAAGTGTAAATTAGCAGCCTTTGCTAGCACCTAATTGTTTCTGAAGTTTGAAAACGGCACTACATATGTACCTGTTCTGTAAACCTGCTCCAGAGAGTCACTCATTACAGTAAGGCAGGGAGCTTCAAAGTTATGCCTTGAGCAAAAGCCCAAATGCTCCTTACACCCCAGTAAAAACAAACAACTCACAGCCTGCCCTAAAATCAGTGGCCAGAAGGTTTGTATTTGTCCAAGATGAACAAACAAATGACTGGAGAGCTGAGAAAAATCAGTGCAAGGACTGAGGTGTAACTCATGACACAGCACGTCTGCCCACTTGCTATGGAAACTATGTTTGGCAAGTGTCAGGTGTCTGAATTTCTGCTCATGTGCACCTCCCGGGACAGGGGTGTATTAATAGCACAGGCAGCCTAAAAACAGCAACTATCACCAAGAAAAGCCACCCTGCTGCTGAGAGCTCCTTGCTGTAGCCTGCGTATTGTTGTGGTGCTTTGCTCAAAAGCACAGAATTTTATTCCCTTGTGTTTTACATCTGCCACCTAAGCTGACCTGAATTGAAGGAAGACCACTAAACAAAAGGAAGGGAAAGGAACATTACAGCAGGAAGCAAACCTTACTGTAAGCACAGCTTTCTTGAGCATCTTGTACTGCCGTGCGAATATATATGGAGAGCCAGCAGCATCCAGGGTGCTAGCTTAAAGGCACAAACCTTTTCAAGAGATCTGGAGAAGCCCATGCAGCTCGGCAGGACAGCCCAGGCACGGTGAGCAGCATGAGAAGAAGCCACCGAGTCACACTAGGAAGCAAGCAGCAGCAGGCACAGGCTTCCAGGCACGGGCAGAGCACCCGGCACAGGCAGCAGCACGGCAACAGCAGAACGGAAAGGAAGTAACTCCAGGTTCCAAATGCCAAGGGTTTGGAATGGGAAGCAAGGGAAGGGAGCTGCTGAGGCTTCAGTGAATGTGGAACTGCACTGGACAGGTTACTCCAGATAAACCAAGTTTTCTTAACAGCAGCTTTAACTCAACACCTTTAGGAGTGTTTGTGGCAGCACCAAAGAAACAGGCATTTGATTAAGATCCATTCCAGGTTTCTCCCGTTTTCTTAAACCGTATCAGAGACACGTTAATGACACCAATGCAGCCACTCACTCCGAACTGCCTGACTAGACAGGCTTCTCTACAGATCCGGGAGATCCTTTCCCAGGAAACCTTCTGCTGCGTGTGTCCACACACTGCTGCCCCCCGGCGTCAGCCTGCGCCGGGAGACTCGGCTCCGGCCGGGAGTAGGTGCAGCCGCGTTTCCAGTCCGCCCTGACCCAGCCGCCACCTCCAGCTGCACAGCGCAAAGTCAGGAGCCTGGGCTTCAGAAGGAAACTGTCCCTTCTGGGCAGATGCGTTTTGCTTTTCTGCTGCTCTCTGCTGAGCGAAGTTGATGCAGACAAGTGTTTTCAGAGCTGTGTGTCAGTTGTTCACAGTTGAGAGACTTCTGCCCACCACTCTGATGACATTTATCTGAAACGTTAGCTGAGGATGTATTTTCCAGGGGTCTGAGTGTAAACACTGCCTCGTTCACAACAAGCAATGCACAGAGAAGAAAGCTTGCAGAGGTACATAGCAACGCTGCTATGTAAAGGTAAAAGCAAGGGCTGTCAGTGGCCTCTGGGCTGGCCAACAGATTTCCCTGGCACGCCTGAGATGACAACTGTTTGATCTAAAGACATGCTCACCCAAGTGCCTTCCCCAACAGTTTAGAGCAACAAAGGATGCATTTGGAGTCACCAAGCAATGTCATTACAATCACACAATTATTCAAGGGATCAGGCCAGACAGGCCAGTGGTTCAGACTCCTCTGCCAGGAGTCCAAGTCCTAAAATAGCCAAGGAATTAGTGCCAGCCACCTACCTGAGCAGCTGATTATCACCTGGGCTTTCCTCTGAAACCTTCTGCCAAGCCTGACCTACAGTAGCCAACAGTGCAGCAGTGAAGAGTGTTCCATCTCAAACAATAAAAGATCAAGGCTAAGTACATGCCCCAAAACCCAAACTGGAATTTCTGCAGGTCTCAGTTTTGCTCTAAAATCCAAATTCTAGTCACATAGTCAAAATGCACCTTCAAACTGGACTGGGTGTCTGCAGTCAGCTACAACGGGTTATGTCGGATCAAGACTAAACCCTGATGCACAAGTCTACACTCAGTTCTCTGAACTCATACCACGGGTTACAAGACCCTGCCTCTCCATCCCTGGTTCCCCCACCCGGAGGCTTATTGTGATGTGCCTCTCGCCTCCTGAAGCAGAAGATACCCTTGTTTCACACAGGCCTAAAATACAGCAACAAGACTGTGGTTACTGATGCATCTTCTCTAAGAGTCCTGCTTGCTCTGAGAACAGCCATGGAGAAGCTAGTTACCATTTGCTCCTGTGCACAGTTCCACAAGAAGTCCCTCTAAAAGCAGCCACACTTGGCAGGCCCTTGAACATCTTCTGAACCAAGCAACAGCACATTTATGGCACACAAAGCCCTAGACACCCCAGAGGTGAAGCAGCATGTCAGGATGTGCCTGGGACCCCCGCAGAGTGAAATGCCTTTTACCAGTTGCATGAGGAACCAAAGCATGGCTGTCTCTGCCTAAGCCACCAGCCAACACAACGCCCACCATATGTCCCCTGCAGCAGGACATGCTCTCCAACACCCATCTTTCGCCTGCATATGGAAAGGAATGAGAATCTGGAACGTGAGTGACTTTGGCTATCGTCCTCTGGCTCTTCTCACCACCTTTCTAATCTCAGGCCTTGCCAAGTCCTCTGTGACTGCTCCACAACCCCAGAAAAGGTGCAGTTTCCCAGGCACTGCTGAAGGCAGGGCCGAAAGGCACCAGATCGCTCAGGCAGCGTGGTGTCCTGCCTCTGCCCTGCACAGGACAGGCAGATTGTTGCTGATCACCAACAGAAGAAATTCAAGGTATGTCTTCCTTGAGGAAGAAGATCCCTCACCCTCTATTTGTGTAAATATGTGAGAATTCACATGAAACAGACATTCAGTTAAACAGAAGAACCACTACCAACAGCCAACGCAGTTGAAAAAATGGTTTTGTTTTGTTTTTAAACTTGTCATTAATTGTAAATGTACAATACAGCCCATGTCAACAAGTTCTGAATGGGCAGCCTCATGTTTTCTTTCAAAACAACAAGGGCTAGAGACAAGTTACAGAATTAACTGAAGGTTCTGGCATCACTGTAGGCATGTGACACCTGGGAGCACGAAGTCAAGAATACCTTCAAAGGCAGAGAAGACCGCAAGCCCCGACACCTAAAAAGGAGGAAAAGGATTTGTGGAGATTCCTTGCCTAGGAAAAGGCTGAAACAGTCTCACCCAGATGAACTGAGGTCAGGCAGCAGAACCATGAGAAGCTCCACCTGGACAGCTGAGTGGAGGAAAAATATGGCTACAGTCGTAAAAAAGTTAAGTCTGTTTCTTCAGGTTTTGTCCCTTCCTTGGCCGCTTCTTCGGTCTCCGCACGGCGTTGCTCCCAGTGGCAGGGGGCAATCTCAGGGTTATTTCACTGTCCTCTGCGTCGTCATCCGCCTGAGCAGCTCTCCGGCGCTCGAGCACTGTCGGGGTACAGACTGGAGTGGGGTCCTGAAGAGATGAGAAAAACTTCCTTCACTGCAAAGCATCTGCCAGGGAAAGTTGTCGCTGCCTCTGCAGTACCACACGACACCTCCCCCAGCTCTCTTTCAGAACTTCCACACGTTAGGGACAATCCTTTCCTTTTCATAACTAGCCATTTTTGTAGATGTAGTGTTTCCTCAGACAAAAGTGTCATCTTTAAAAGAGTCTATGTGAAAGGCAAATGCAACTAATTCACATTTTCTAACATGACATTAGGCACATTGGCTTTCTAAATTTTGTATTTCCTGACTCAAAGCACTAAGAAAGCCAAGAGGAAAAGCATCAGGGAAAACAAACAGCCAGCCAAAAACATATAATTGACGCTGGCATGCAGAAATACCACAATCAAGCTCACAGCAGAGCTGAAACATCCCAGCTTCGCTATCTCAGTGAGTTCTCAGAACTCAGTTGACTGAACTTACAAGTTTCCTGTCTTCTCACAACCAGCTCTGTCCCAGTTATCAGAAGTAAACCCATTAGTGTTAAAAATAAAACCAAACCAACTCACAACAGTGATGAAACAAAACAGAAACGTTAATACCTGACAGAACTTTCAGACTCTCAGTGCCCCAAATCTCAGTCCTGGTGACCTAAGCCTTCCTTCCATCCTACTGCTAGTTTTAGTTCACCTTAGTTTTCAAAATACTGGATCAGCACACCTGGAGAACAGGAGGGAGGAGGAGCAGCACAGGATGCCCATGGGGACAGACAGCACTAGACTGTATTAACAGTTTAGCTTCAGAACAGGCCAGTACAATGTTGCCACACAGAACAAAAGAAGGGCAGCATCAAGGAGATAATTTCATACCAGTCTGAAGCACAGAGATGGGTGCTGTAAGGTGACTGTCCCCAGCACCCTGCACCTCTCCTGCCTCGAGTCAGTGCTGAACAGCAGAGGCTGGCAGCGGACCCATCGCTGCCTGGGCACCCCTCGGGACAAGTGCTGCTGGTTACAACATGCTGAGTTGAGGCCTCTGCTGCTCAACCCTCCCACAGGGGAAAGAAATGAGAGGATGCAACCACCTGCCTGCATTCATGAGTGTTAATACACCTCAACGGACCTGGTTTTGGCACAAAAATCTCCCAAGTGAACAATTTCAAGGTTTTCAGGTGTTGAAATCAGCTAGGAAGACACCAGCTGCAGACCTGAAACATCTACCATGGTGTGAATGGCAGGGCACGGTGCTGGGCATTACCAGGACTGCCCAGTCTTACCTGGCTGCTCAAAGAAATGTTCATGTTTGACTTCATGGATGTATTGACTTTGTTTCTCTTTATGGAGAGCTCCTGTGCAGCCTAGGAAGCAAGACAGATCAGGTGGATCACTACAGACTTCCTTCTGTGAAGATGCAGTCACTCAACAGTCTAAGTTTGCTTCGTAACCACACAGCCTTTGCTACAGCTGCTGGGTCTGGAAGCCTCCCACAGGGCTGGGGAAAAGCCCCATCGCTCTTCTGTGATCGAAAACCACAGGATATCCAAACAGCTACACTAATGGGACAAAAGACATGTCCCCACTTTGCTGTCACTTCTCTAAAAGGAAACCCACCCATACATACAGCACAACCCCGCAGGAGCACAACACGAATTTCCAGGAGCTTCTACACAGCTCTCAACCAGCCTTCCTGGTGCCCAGCTCTCATACCGGTTCCACGCAGAACACCCGTCTTGTATTTAGCACCCCCTTAGAAACGCGTTTTGCATCAGGCAGTCAGGGAACCCCCCGAACTCACGAATCCTGGGAAGTCGTAGTGGAGCCCCTTCTGGGCCAGCCTGTGCCGCAGGCGCCTCTCCCTGCGCAGCAGGCGCTGGGCCATCCTGGCCTTCTGGGCCCGCGAGCGCACCCGGTTGTACCGCCGCACCGCCGGCTGCGACGGCTTCAGAAACACCCTCTGGCAGTTCTGGAAGAGCTTTTCATGGACCCTTTCAGGAGATATGAACTGACCTGTATCACAAACATGGGACATGGGGTTACGGCAGGGCTCCAGGGCAGCACTTCACCAGCTGAGGGCAGGAGAAGTAACGAAACGCTCCTTTAGTGGGAGAACTCAGCATGGAGCAAGGAAGTAAAGAATTGGTGCTCAGTTTCACCCAGAAAACCTTGTTTTTCAAGAGCTGATCCACCTATAGCTCACAGTCCTTTAGTGCAAGCATTACTGTCGCCAGGTCTGAGAAACTTGCCAATTTCATTCATCTTTCAATCAAAAAAGCCTCCTATATTTAATTACACAGACAACAGCTGCAACAGTCTCAAACTACAATTTCCACCTTAAAGGAACTGCCTCCACAGCAAACCCCACCACTCCCCAAGGCTTCACATTCCACAGCTACACAACCATTGGTAGCCTAGAGGAAAAAACAGTAGTGACCAAAAGGCTGCCGAGGATGTGCTTGACACCTGAAGAAAAGAAAGAAAATCTCAGCCCCATGGATAATCCCTTTGGGACAAAACGCCACAAAAAAAAAACAAAACACAGGATCCCCCAAACAGTCAAAAAAACACAATGTAAATAACTATGAATCACCTTTGCACATTAGAGACTTACACTTCAGTTTATACTTACACTTGAGCAGTCTTTCTGAAAACAGGTAGTTGTTCATTGTGTCCGCAACAATCTTGGCTACATCATCAGACTCAAATTCTATAAATCCATAGCCTTTGCTAGCTCCAGTCTGAAAGCAATGACAGAAAGAAATCTGAAATAATGTTTCTATACCTGAGGAACTACACTAATATTACTTTGTGGTCCCAAAGTCACAGCCCACTGTCCTGGTTTCCCTGGGACAGAATCCTAGGCCTGCCATGGTCTGCAGGCTGTTCGGAGTCTGGAGTGAGTCAGAGCAGCTGGCCCAAGTTGGCTACAGGTGTATCCCATCCCATCAACATCATGCTCAGTACAAAGGGGGATTTCTGTTGAGGACAGGAGCTTCTCCTGTTCATCTTCTTGCTTTTCTCTATCTCTAGTGGGGCTGCTCATCATTCTGTTCCTAAGGACTGCTTCTTGTTTACTGTGACTGCTGTACATTTGCTAGGCTGAGTATATCTCTATTTACTTTATACTGGCACTGGTATTAGCTTTGCTGTTTCATTGAATCCTGTCTCATTTCATCCCACAGGTGTCCTCTCCTTCTCCTGATCCTCCTCCTCTGCTGGGAAGGGGCCACACATATATGGGCTAAACACAGGCACCTGTTCCTCAGCTAAACACTGCTGATCTCATGAAATTCGGTGAAATCATAAAAAGCAGCATATTTAGTCTTAAACTGGTATAGTGTCACTTGTAAATATGTATTTGCATGTTAAAAGATTGCTCACCAATACCTATTTATTTTAAAAAACCCAAACGGCTGCCCTGCATTGCTGCTGTTCTGTTGTTACCAGGCTTATACAGAAACACGAAGTTGGATTTGAGTACGCAGCAACAAGAAAGCCAAAAGAGAGTCCTGTCCATGGCATTTCACATTCTCCCTTAGATTAGGGTGTTCCAGCCACGCTTCTCGGCTGCCTACTTATGAAA